TCCCCTTAGGATATAAAAATTTAGGACCCCCTTGGGTGTGATTTTTTGAAGCTACCCATGGTTATATTTAAACCCCATTTAGGATATCATCTTTGCCCCCTTGGATATCAGTATGGAGTATGGAGCCGTCGTTCGAGTAAGAGAGCTAAAAGATGGAAACCAGTGATTGTTGAGGAGAAGAATTACTGAGCTACATTCCAATTCTGAGTGCTCATGTGTTGAAAGAGGCAAGCAAAGAGTTTCTGTAGAAAGTAAAACCATCCACATCTGATCAATATCCAACAAAAATAGCTCTAACAATTGCCAGTCAACAGTGCAGAAAAGAACGTACCACAATATTTTAGATTACAGTAGATATACAACCTTTTCAGGCTTTTGATAATTACGCAATTTGGCCTGGGAGCCTTGCTCTCATGAATCATGAGCCAATCACTTTGCATAATTTACTAATGAAAACAAGGCTCCAAGACCAAAAAGTATGTGTGGCGTAATTATCGAAAGGGTGTATTGTCAAAACTACTAAGCACTTTGATAAAAAAACAGTGCATTACTTGCTCTGAAAAACAGTAAGCATTTTAAATTGTTTATTTGTACATTCAACTAATAAATTTCTGAAATGATCTCTCTTGAACATGACTACAATTTATTAGTGAAAACATACAAATAAACAATTTTGAAGATGTTTTTAAAATGCTTCCAGAGAAATTATTGTGCTGTATATAATTCTATGGGTTTGTGTCAAAGAAACTATGGGTGAAATTTCATATAAGGATCCCAAAATGACATCACATAGGGTTGTGTATGGGCTGGGTGAGAGTAAGGGTTATATTTTGGGATTGTTATATAAAAATTCTTCTACAATTATGCCTCCACAAACAAAGATTTATGAATAAAGAGAGCAGATATATACAATTTCTATTTGTGAATGTACATAATTTATTTGTGCTATATTCAATAATTGATAAAATGGACAATTGTGAAATTCTGTCCATATCATAGAAACAAAATAACCATATTGTTCTACATAAAACCCTGACTGCCCACCCCCTTGACCCTCTAGGTCAAGGCATATCTCTATATCTGGTATAATGTCCATCAGGTGAAGGATGTTTTTCGAATTTTCCACACACGGCATGCATGGCTATGTATGTACTGACACACTGTCGATATGCTGCATGCCTCATCACTCTATTGTCATATGTTTGTGTAAACACATAGGTATCTGCCAAAACTTTATGGAGGTGACCAATTTATCTGCGTCCAAGCAAATGTTTTGGAATGTGCAAGTGTTCCACTCTGAAACAATGTATTTCTTTATAGCACACCCTCTTTCTGTCTGTTGGCATCTCTGCAATATCCACATACACAGAATGGTGCATTTGACTCCTCAAATTATTACACTGAATCATGCTGTAGCTGCTCCACCAAATCTTTTAAAACTAATGCTCTGGACTTAAAACCCTCCTTTGCTACTTTTACAAGAATCTTGTTATCCAAACCATCAATTATCTCCTAAGTAACAAAGACAACTAACAGTTACGATATATTATATAAAGGCACTTGAGTTCACACATACAAAAATTCTGTACCAATATTTCTTGACCTTGGTATGGTACGACCCCTTTGAATCATTGTTTATTCATAAAGATTAAAGCATCATACATGATATAACGTATGCATTCATCACTGTATAAATATGCAGCTTGCTCTGAATATCAAGATCAAATCAAATACAAATATTCAAAATCAGAGAAACTCATTGATATTTCAACTCAAATACAGTACATACCTTTTATATATTTTTACATTACTCCTCGCACCACAAGTGCATGCGCTTCCTCTGCAATGACAGCCAGTCACTTTTCCATTCGTAGAGGTCTTTAACTTGACCATACATTGCGATTTACAGCCACAGTTTGATATCCTCGGTTGAGCGACCATACGTGTAAACAGTGTTTTAATAGTGTTACATAATTATTAATTGAACCGAATTTTACAGCAATTTGGATACTTTTCTTTTTTACATTAATATCCAAAAATACAGCCTTACATTGCTAGACTCATCTAAATCAGATGTTTCGTCTTCAAGCGATGAACTCATGGCGATATAGCTTCTTTCGTTTTGTAAATTTAAAGAGTCAAACTCTTCGTTTGCCGCCATAGTAATACAATATTAAGTTGCGTGTAACCTGAGCCGCTTGTCATATCAATCAATCAACAGCGGTATTGTCGGTCACGTGGGGTGCTGCACTGTGCCTTTAAAAGAGCAGAAAAGAGATTGTCTTCTTCGTCAGACGAAACAGATGTATGTCCAAATAAATATACACGTAAGAGTGTTGAGTCGTCTTCTCTTTCAAACCTATTATGTTTCTTTTGTGACAAATGTACAAGAGAATCTAAGGAGCCACTGCATAGTGTTTCAACTATGGATATGGATAATCGCATTCGACAAATCGCTCTAGATTTACAAGAAGAAAGTTTGTTAGCGAAACTAAGTGCAGGTGATATGGTTGCACTGGAAGCCAAATACCATAAATCATGTTTAACATCAATTTGTAATCGTGCGCGGTCACGCAGATCACACGAATTAAGGGCGAACGAAAAAGATTCCAATGTCGTACATGGAATAGTCTTGGCAGAACTGGTTTCATACATAGAAGATACTCGAGAAGAAACCAATTCTTTGTCAGTTTTCAAACTGAGCGATTTGTCAAAAATGTATGCATCGCGTTTAGAACAATTGGGAATTGAATCAACCAGCGAAATACACTCGACAAGATTGAAGAACAGAATTATTGCCAGAATTCCAAGTATACACGCTTATCAAGAATGGCGTGAGATTCTTCTCGCCTTCGATTCCGACATAGGCACAGCACTTAAAAGATCACAACGTGACGATAGCGACGATAAAGCATCTTGTCTTGCAAAAGCAGCTAACATAGTTAGGAAAGATATGTTGGAAAAGAAGACGTCATTTACTGGGACATTCGAGAAGAACTACCAGAATGACTCCATTCCCCAATGTCTTTACTCGCTGGTAAATATGATTTTGCATGGACCAAATATCCGCAAGCAAGCTGAAAACAAATCAACCCAGGCTACACTTACTGTTTCTCAGCTACTCCAATTTAACAGTTATTTTTCAAATCGAAGTGGATGTTCCCATCATGATCATCACAATAGATGTCGTGAAACACCTCTTCCTATCTACCTGGGACTTTCTATTCACGCCCGGACACGTAAACGCGACTTAGTGGACAATTTCTTTAAGCTTGGTCTTTCGGTATCGTACGACCGAGTTGTTAGTATATCTACTGATATCGGGAATACTATTTGTCGAAAATTCCAAGACGAAAACTTAGTGTGTCCTGCTAAGCTGCGGAAAGGCATTTTCACCACCTCTGCAGTAGATAACATTGACCACAACCCCAGTTCAAACACTGCTAAAGGGTCTTTTCATGGAACCGGGATATCTTTATTTCAGAACGTATCGCGGGAATATCCTGGGATAGAACAAGAACAAATATCTCTGGAGCACCGTAGTAAACTTGATAAGAAGAAAGTCTGCGAACTGCCTGATTGGTATACAGATGTTCCTCCTTGTATTCTGAGAGATGCGAATGCACATACAACAAACAATGGTACGCTAAGAACTGACGAGGATTATCTATCTATTGCTCTTCAAGATGAAATTGAGTGGGTGCAGCAAGTAAAACGAGGCGTGGAGGAAGAGACGCTTCCAGAAGGTGAAATGGTATCATGGTCTGGTTACCATGCAAGTAAGCAGCAACAGCGAAATTTGAAACCAGCAGTTTCATCATTACTGCCATTATTTCAAAATGAATCTAAATCAGTTGCCATGATTCGCCACAGTATGAATATTATCAAGAAAACAACGGAACATCTAAATCCTGGCCAGGTTCCTGTGATAGCTGTTGATCAACCATTGTTTGCCGTGGCAAAGCAAATACAATGGAACTGGCCGCAAACCCACGGTGAGCAAAACTTTGTCATTCTACTTGGTGGTCTACACATCGGGATGGTAGCCTTGAAAATGCTTGGTGATTGGTTGGAAGACAGTGGCTGGACAAGTGCGCTGGTAGAGGCAGGGATTGCGAACTCGGGAGTGGCAAATTCATTCGTCAAGGCCTCGAATGTCAAGCGTGCAAGGCGTGCTCATCAGCTAACAGCAAGTGCGTTGTATGCATTGCTCAACAAAGCATATGCCAAGAGAGAAAAAGAAATGGCATTGGAACATACTCTATCCTTCGACAAATGGTGCGAAGAAAGGATGTCAAGTTCACCGCACTTTCAGTTCTGGCATATTGCATTACAACTGGAATTACTTTACTTGGTATTTGTGCGCTCATTTCGAGAATCAGATTTCGAGTTGTATCTAGATGCAATTCAGAAATTAGCAGCTTGGCGTTTTGCTTTAGATCACACAAATTACGCCAGATGGCTTCCAATCCACTTGCAGGACATGCTGTCCCTTGAAGAAAAGCATCCATATGTGTATCATCAGTTCCTGAACAATGGATTCGTTGTTCAGAAGACGTCAAGAAGGTTCTCATCAATAGCTGTTGATCAAGCCCACGAGCAAAACAATTCATTGGTTAAAGGAGATGGGGGAGCTATCGGGCTCACGGAGAACGCTGGTACACTTCGTCGGTGGATGATTTCAGGACCTGAAATTGCGAGAATGATTACAGAGTTTGAAACAAGTCAGATCTGCTGCAATGCATAGAAGCAGTCATTCCTGCTGTCGCTGATTCTCCAAACTCTATAGATGTTACTATTATAGACGGCGCCGCTGCAATTAACATGCTTAAACCCACGCCGGCAGTGAAAACCTTCCACGATTATGCTGAACATGTGTTTATTCCTTACATCAAAGGACAGTTACAGCACGCAAAGAGAGTTGATGTAGTATGGGATGAGTATACACCAAATAGCCTAAAAGAAACAACGAGGAAAAAACGTGGAAGAGGCATCCGCAGAAGGGTCCAGTCATCAACAAAGCTGCCAAGCAAATGGCATGAATTTCTCCGAGTGAATGAAAATAAGACGGAACTATTTGCATTTTTGGCAAACCACATCCTTTCCGCTGATTTTGGAAGTAACAAGCAGGTTATCAGTACCCTCGGTCAACAAGTTCTCTGCAATCCGCCTCGTGATAACACAAACAGCCTCGCTCCTTGTGACCACGAAGAAGCAGATACAAGAATGATGGTTCACGTCGCAGACGCCGTTCAAAAAGGATTAACAAAAATACTTTTACGAACGGTAGATACAGATGTTGTCGTAATTGCGATCGCAGTCTCACACACATTGAGTACTTCCGAGTTGTGGATACCTTTTGGCGTGGGGAAAAACCTGAGATTCCTACCTGTTCATGAAATTGCCTCGAGTTTGGGTCCCGAAAAATCGAAAGCTCTGCCGATGTTTCATGCCGTTACAGGCTGTGATACAGTTTCATCTTTTTCTGCTAAAGGCAAGAAAACAGCATGGAAAACGTGGCTCTCATATCACGAGGTTACATCTGCTTTTCACCTCCTGTCTGACCGACCAGAAAGTGTAACGGATGAGTGCATGGACATCCTCGAGCGATTCACCGTCCTTCTTTACGACCGAACATGTCCGAAAATGAAAGTCAACGAAGCACGTAAGATGTTGTTCGCACAGAAAGGAAGGTCTCTTGAGTTGATCCCTCCTACCCGAGCAGCCTTGGTTCAACATGTGAAAAGAGCCGTCTATCAAGGAGGATATTGCTGGGGACAAGCTACGACTCCTATGGCTCTTTTGCCTTCCCCCAGTGAGTGGGGCTGGTTGCAAACCGCAGACGGTTGGAAACCATTTTGGAGCACTCTTTCTGATGTGTCAATGACGTGCAATGCCCTTATACGCTGTGGTTGCAAGAAAGGGTGTCGAGGAAATTGCTCTTGTCGTAAAGCAGCTTTGCAATGTACTGCACTGTGTGCATGTGATGGCGAGTGCATAAAAGAATGACTGTTGTTGTTACTGCATGCAATATAGGCTGTTATATATAAGTTAAATTAGCGATAAATGTACAAGAATCATTTGTAAAATGACTTTCAATTCCAGTGTTGATGGAAACACGTTTGTTATCACATCTTACGTTTAGATAGCCTGCGAACAGGCTCTCAAGCTTAATTGAGAGCCTGCATCGATGACTAATGAATTTGAATATCTGCCCCGTAACGTTCATTTTTCCAAATATGGAATGTCTATCCTTATATGGTGTTGTTTACAACTTTCATGCAAACTAAATTTAGACCGTGCAAACTAAATTTAGAGCGTACAGTTTATACTGTTTTTCGAAATATAAGATATTCAAGCAAAAGTTTAAATGTTTTAAATACTGTTTTCTCAAAACAGAACATTTCGTGCTTTGAGATAAGATGGCCAAGATCAATTTGATCAGTTAATGTGCTTTTTATGCATAGTGCAACAGTTGACATATATAGAGCTCAGCGGAATAATATAAATTATAGCATCTGACCAATGAGAATTTCGCGTCACGATTTGAGACGCAGATATTCAAATTCATTAGTCATCGATGCAGGCTCTCAATTCAGCTTGAGAGCCTGTTCGCAGGCTAACGTTTAGATGTAGATAGTCGAGAATTGGATTTTTATGAATTTATTGATTTTCTATGAACTTATGGATACCCTATTATTAGATATAAAATGTTGTTAACATGTAACAGAAAAACATAGATTTGGCAAACCAGTAATTCAAAAGTATTAAATGGCCAATTCCGCCAAAACATTATGAATTCAAAATGGCCGCCGATTACAGTCTTCGTGCACAAAACACGTTGCAAGATCTCTCTATTGCAAATGGTCAAGCAGAGAACTGTATTTAAGTCATTTGCTACCTTGTCTACATATTTGTACAGTTAAATGATGTTATGGGTCTATTAAAAAAGAGAGAACAGCCTTTTACTGATTAAAAATGAGTTGATTTGACCATATTCTCACCATTGACATCGGCTAAGTTGTAATAAATGAACTAGTTTCGTACATTAAAAACTACATAGGCTAAAATAAACATAAAAAGCTTAGCTGAGAACAGAAAAAATATTTTAGCCAATTTACAAATAAAAAATCAAGATATATATAGCACTTCCGGTTTTCTGCCTCGCTTTCACGGAAAATGGGCCGTTAACGGCTATAATTTGAATTTTTGGAGTTGCCTACATATCCAGTTTTTTTCGCCTCATCAAGAACTATAACTGTCTCAAATTTGGTGCTTTCTTCACAAAGTGCATGATTTTTCGACATATCCGCCGGACTAATTAAAATTACTGATGAAACGTGCAGTTCTCACAACATTCGTGAATTAACCAATCAGAGAATCGCTTCTCCACGCTATTGAAAACAAGAACATATGTTAACAGAATTTGATCGCAAATTCGCGAAAATATACAGCGAAAATACAGGGACTTTTTCGATAAAATATACGAAATTTGAAATGGAAAACCCGCTAAACAGAGAGCCAAAGTAGTTGTCAAGATTCTCGACCTGAATATGTGAAGATTGCGAAGTGTTTGCTCAACTTTGATGCGAGAGATGTTGTACTTGCATGCCACATAGATATCTTATATACACTAGATAGTGCATCTAATTATTCTGAAATTCAAAAATCGAAGCCGTGATTGCAGTCTCAGGTCGTTCCCATGAAATGAGAAGATTCGTATGTTTTCTATTTCTTAAACAGGGAACTTAAACATTAAGTTAACCCTATTCCAAATGCGTTTTCAAAATATTCAAATAATTAAAGTTATTGTTGTTTTTAAGCGTTTATTAGCAAGTGGGAACGACCAACATGGCCGCCATCTATTCAAATGGGGGTAACCGATAGTATATTCTTGGCTTCAATTTTACTAAATGAGATGCGCTATCTAGTGTATATAAGATATCTATGGCATGCCATGGTCTGATGAATTTCAACGCTACGCGTTGCTACTTGCTGAACAGCAATGTATCGATCAGAAATTTATTCATACAACTAAACCGACGACTCAATAATTGCAAACTTACTTCAAAGTCGAAAGGTATGGTACAATGAAACTTTACAATACGAGTATATTTGTAAAATTATGTGCAGGAATTTCTGTTCAGAATTTCCCGTGCAGGATTGTCTGATCCTGCACGGCTGTTGACCAATCAAATTGCGTGTTTTACTGTAGTTATTATATAATCGTGTTTACTGTTCGGCAAAAATATTGAAACAAGCCGTGGGAAGTTTTTTTGCGTTTTTATCTACAAAGAAAGCCCCAGTTTTTCATTATAATCCTATTTTTTTGGGAATTCGAACAGTACGTATGTTATTAACTAGCTTAACCTATCTTTTAGTGTGTTTTTACGTATTTACGTTCAGTATTGTCTTTCATATTGCTCAAAATTTTCAACTTGTTGTTTTGCGAGCTGTCAAATTGAAATGATACTGTCTTCTATTAACTCTTGAACAGTAGTGAACTGTTGCCGAAACTTATATAAGTTCAGTCAATCAATTCAATTCACAGGTATCGTTTTATCTGCTAAATCAAATAAAACAGTTATGAGTTGTTTTATATGAAAAGTTAAACTTGTAGTTCGATGTTTTGAAAAGTTTTCACACCGATTTTAACAACAAAAACAAATGTAAACTAACACTGGATTTAATACAATGCCTATATAGTGTTTTTTATTAGTATTTTCAAGATTAATATTTTATTTTCATATCAAACAAGTCAGAAATATCAGTTTTCTTATGTGTTGTAAGCCAAAA